GAGACCGAATGGCATACGTAGAAATTCAAAAAGTCCGAAAGGCGTAATGATAGCCGTTTTCGGGATGTCTTCTGTTGCCATCGGGATTTGGTTATACGCTTTAACCAAGTCGATTTTGGAGAATATAGTCGCGCCGGATAAGGTTGCCGTCAAGTCGTGTATATGAGGCAACGGGTAGCAATCAGGGGTTGTTTTGGCATTCACTCGCCGGTAATCACCGGTGGGTCGCCAATCGTTGCTATCCTTTTTCGGAACCATATGAAGTGGGGATGCCCATGGGCTATTCGAAGGTCGAATGATGCCAAGGCTAAGCATATGGTCAAATTCATTCCTGGCGATTCTCAGTTTGTCAGGAGCTAATCGTCGTGCTTTAGATGTCACAGGTTGTCCTGTGGTAATGATGTGGTGCATAACATTGCTGGTTATGCACGGTAGGTCGTTCGACGGGCAATTAAGTTCCGGATACTTGTCAACATAGGTTGAAAAGTTGGATCAAGAATTGCCTTTATCTTAACGGGTGACAACTAGGGCCTATGTAGCTGATGCCTTTGATAGACAGACTAGTAGTATTGTCAATCAGTCGTTTTCGGCGGACGTCTACGAGTAAATCATGATGATTAAGTAGGTCCGTGCCAATGATGGGCATTGTAACGTCAGCGAGAAGGAAAATCCACCGAATAGGTTTGCGTAAACCTACGTTCAGATAGACGTATTTCCTACCAAAGGTTGCGATTGGTTTTCCATTTGCAGCCTGTAAGTTGAAGGTAGGTTCCTTCTGTCGATCTGCTGCTGTAGCAGGAAGGACGCTGACTTCGGCGCCTGTGTCGACTAAGTATCGAGTCTGGCTTATCACATCATGGATGTAAAGTAGGCGGCTAGTGCCACCGGCGACGGTTGCCGCTAACGCGTGCCGGCGGGATAGTTTCCCGCAGACTTTGAGACATTTCCGAAGTTACAAGGCTTACGGCAACACTTCGCTTCTTGGCCATAGGTGTTGTGGTACCAGCACCAGTCAGGGTTTTTCAGTGAACGTGGTTTGGACTTAGATCGACCACGTGAGTTCCTGCGTTGAGGAGATTTAGGACGACGGTCGGAGGAGTTAGAAGGCATGTTTGACCTAAACATCTGCTGGATGGAGTTGCATAACTCTATCATTGCAGGATCCTTACTCGAAGTCTGCTTAGTCATCGAGCATATTTCGGGAACAGACCGTTTAGTTATTTCTAGAATCTTATCTGCAGTAATAGCTAAGTTCTCTATTACAGTACCCTGAAGTGTCACAAGTACGGTCTGTACAGACTGTGGCAACTTGGTTAAGAAGAGTTCTCTAAACAGTCCTTCGTCGAACTGACTTTGGCCGACGATTTCTTTCATTCTTGTCAGCATGCTCACGGCTGACTGATCTCCTAACTCGATGTTACGAAATAATTCATCTAGACGTTGTCGGTCCGTGAGAACGTTTCTCCTGAGGAGGGATGCTTTGAGCAACTCGTACGAGTTACTTACCTCGGGACTCAACATCTGTGATGTTACGTACTTGCTGAATTCCCGCGGTAGGGCGTGAATAACTGCAAGTAACTGTGAACGTTGATCGGTTATCCCATGCTCACAAAAATCTGCTTCAGCTAGCAGAAACCACGTTTCAGCATTATCTGGCCAGTATGGTACGAGCTGAATGGTTTTAGGAGTTGAGCGGATACGGATGACCTTGGGACTAAGATCACTCATGACGAAAATTATGTCGAATAATATATGGTACAAGAACAAATACAAAATGGAACGAACTCACCGGGGTTATCTGCGGATTTTTCGTGGATAAAGTTCGCGGTTGGGCTCACCAGTTTAAAGGTTGACGGATATTGACGATATCTCGTTCAACAACTTCTAATTAATTTATTCTCGCGTACCAAAGACAAAGCAAAAGCCAATAATTGATCGTCCAAACCAAGATATATATTTAGGAACCAAAACCAGCCGTTAGACGAACGCTTAGCTAGCTAGTGATCGTGCACGTGACACGACGAGGTACCAAATGGCGGGGATGCTTGACCGGAAGCCTTCAGCTAAACAAGTCGACTTAAACAGTGGTGGTCAGCATCCAATGAGTGATTGCTGTGGTCAATAATTTTGGGGAATTATTTACCGCTACAATAATAACAGTGAGTTTGTTTTGAAACAATCCTGTCGATACAGTATGGTGATTTTAGAATGATATAGATTATTAAATCCTAAGTACCCTGGATATAACTTGGTGAAGGGAAAGACAGAAGTAACAGTTATTACACAGTTTAGATGATGTTTACACTTATGAGAGAATAAACAAAATAATTTTGACAGGACTGTAAATATAAGAAGAACAGTAACGAAAAAGCTTGGTGGTTTCAGGATGGGGAAAATGGTTCATTCCCTAGTGCAAAGAAGGTTAGTTAGTTCGTCCCTGACACTATTTTCATCACATAAAATACGTACCAAATATGATATCGTGGAAATTTTATGCTTAAACGTACTTGCATAAAGTCTTTTGAAATAACTTCTTGTTTTACCTGAGGAGACACAAGGTTGGAGCTGCAGGTAAAGTGGAGGCTCACAGTCTTAAGAAATACTCTTATCGAATTTGTTACATGAAATCAAGAAGTATATCATTTCTTCGGTGGATCATCTAGCTGATGTCAATCCTTAAGCAATCATTTCTACTCATGATTGTATAATCAGTTATCCTAATACAAGACAACAATAATGAGTGAAATATATCTATGGCGTACTGAAGTTGATTCCGATTACTATGCTACAGTACATCCACATATTCACGTTCTAAAATGTGCTAACGCTGTACACAGTCAACGACGAACAATGTTGTATTAAGAGGCACAACTGAAAACTTGAAAATATATATTGTTAACGAAGTCGAATTTCAAAAAGCACGAGGTGAACGAAAAAGTGCATAACTGCGTAATATATATAACAAACGAAAGCAATATTCAATAACACAATGGCAAAATCCAACAGGCATAAGTAAAACTAGTTTCCGTAAGCGTATAAAATGCGTACATTAATTTCTTTTATAAGCGTACAGTTAGGCTTAATATAGGGGTGCTACACATCTACACATTCAATGAATTCATACATTTCAACTATCTATCTTGCTGATACACTCCCATCATACCCACATTCATATCAACATATTTTTCCCAGAAATGTACCGATTAATTGAGTTCTGATGACACTACTTCTCTACCCAGATTTTAAGAGATGTAGTGAAACTGGAGACTATTACCTAATGGTGAAAATTTAGCTGCGTCAGCTAACGAGACACAAGACCACTTAATATTACTCATTCATCTGAAACACTTTTATTCAAACATTTTTAGAGACTGAGGATGTTGACGTTCACGAATAATACGACACATACTAACGCAAGACCTGATACCAGCAATTGCTATTTTATTCGTTCCGCGTAGACCAAAGACAAATCAAAACACCGAATTGATCGTTGAAAACGCAAAGTGTATTTCGGGATCAAAATTGTACTGCAAGGATGATTACTTAACTGGTTAAGGATCGTTCATGAACAACCAAAAGTAACGCGACAGCGTGTCAAATGGGTTAGATGCTTAACCTCTAGCCCTCAGGTAAACAAGTCGACTTAAACAGTCAGGGTGTTGAGTGATAAATACTACTGCTAATGATTTTGGGGAATTATCTACCGCTACAAATGGCTTTTATTTTCCTGATACTGCAAAACACTGGGGCGCGTTGTTACTACGCAGTACACCAGTATTTTCTAAGCCTGATGTTCTCTACTACTCCCTCAATTGACAGCTTGTCTAATTTGTAAGTACTTACAACGAAACAGAAATCACGAAGAGTCAATATTTTTGAAATTTGTTCAAAAGAGCAATACATATATATGTAGAACAAAGGTTAACATTTTTTATGGTAAAAGTTCATGGACCTATCTGGCTAGTATAGCTGAGCTAAGGACTCTGCGAACATGTATGTTTACCAGCACAAAGGAAACACAAAATATCGTTATAACCTTGTGGGATCCATATTCCTTAAAGCAAAAGTTAAAATAGCGTATGTAGCTGATATTTGGCTTTCTCATTTCAATCTCTTTACTTCAACCATATTTTTTTGATTACAGCTTGATTCCACACTGTATTTTTGGTACAAGTATGGAATTTTCAGCGTGGATATTGGTAGCCCAAATTTTGCAGGCCGACCATAGATATCAGGTGTGCGTCTGCGAGGGCTCGAACCCCGGACCATGTGCATGGTCGGCGAGAGTCCTAACCACTGTGCCGCCGACGCACTATTAATGTTTTAAAGCTAGAAAGGTGCACTACAACATAGAGTACTTTAATTACCATAATAAGCATATGAAGAATGAAGATACCATCAATCTGAGACTGAATTCTGACTTTGAAAAGCTGTCTATAAATAAACTGTTGGATGAAATAAATCTAAAATCTTTGGACAGTCACTGCTATCATCGTTACTATTTTGCAAATGTTTAAGTAAAATGTGAAGAAATCAACCATATTCCTTAAGACTTAGCTGTTATTTTATATAACAAAGTATCTTGGGCATTTTACAGATCTCCATCAATACAAAAAATCACTCCTTATTCAAAAATCAGTTTAAATCAAAAAGTTTACAGTAGTCCTTACACGCATTTATCCCCAAGTGGGTTGAAGAACGAATTTTAAAATACAGTACATTCAGATTTCATTCCAGTTAACTCCTTTAGTAAAAGTAAATGCATCCCTTGACGTATTTTTAGGCAAAAACTTTGGGTCACAGAAGAATTAGCAGTCATAGAACTTTAGTTTGTATCTGGCTAGTTCTGAAATTTTATCTTAAATTTCGATAAAAAGTAATAAGATTCATAGTATATTAATACTAGTCTGAAAATGAATGTTAAGCGAGATAGGTTCACATTCTTGTGTAACTAAAGCACATGAATTTTGAGATTTATAAAGTGTTTTAAGTCAAAGTACGTCGTCACTAGTCATAGTTAATAAATAATGAATTATTGCATGGAAATAGACAGTATCAGTTGTTACTTAAATATAAAATCAAGATGAGGTGAACTTTGTTATCTGAAATCATGATAAATTTATTTATTCAGTTATTTACACAAACAAGAAAAGAATAGCTAAGATTTGCCTTGTTCCTTGAAACATATAACAGTTTATATAAATGTGCATCACCGTATAAAAATGATTACAGACCTTTTTTTTACGATATGCAAACTTTATAAAGAAAAGCCGTAGAATAAATCATAAATTATTTCTTCATGATTTCCTGTGAAATACGCAAGATTTTTCCATTGTTACTTGGAATTGTAACAGGAATTATTGTTATATCACTGAAATCTGAGCATGATACCAAAATTACACTTTGTTCAATTAGTGGAATTGATAAAAGACGACTTAACCCAAAAATAAAAGCGGTGAGAAATATTAAAGAAGAAAATAATAATTCAAGAGGGGAAATTAAACAAACTTATTGTAAGTTAAAACTATTCATTAATTTAACAATGAATTTAAAATGTAACTGGTTTTTTTTATTACAAAAAGTCAACTTAACTGATCATTATGACGAATAACATTGAGCATACTCACTAAAATAATGAAATAAACAGTTTGGATAAGTAAATCTCTTATAATGAATTCATTTTTAAAGAAAAATGAACTTCAAATTGCAGTATGCGCTGAAAAGGTTGTCTGGTAGGGCAATGAAAGCTTTGCAAGTAAACCATCCAACCCAGAGAACACAACTACATCAAAAACTGTACTTTTGTGTAAACATTGAAATTTTCAATTATTCGAATTGTGATATTATTAGAGTATTATTCACCCATGTAATTTAAAAACAACATAATAACTACAAGTAACAACATTCTACTGAGATGGATTGAAACAAAGTTCAAGTGATTTAAGTGTTAACTAAGATATGTGAGTGCATTTTAAACAACAACGGAAATTATCATTGAAGTGTCAATAGTAATTATAATTATAATATGAAACAGAAATATGAAACTGGAATGATGAAATGTTTGAGAAATTATGATTCTAGAATAATTAATTAGTTTACAATATTTTCAAATATCTTAATTATTCATTTATGTTATAATCATGATAAAGAAGATTTAATAGATTATTTTTACATGGATACCTCTGGTTTCAAAACTGAAATGGTTAAGGACTCTGGAACATAAAGTAAAAGAAGAAATGCAATCCTTGAGAAGATTTAGCTGAACTTTGTAAATTATATTGAGTGCAACAGTTGAGCTCATTGGTAACTGTCGACAACATGCTGTTATATTTTACAAAATCACGAAGGAAAATGCTCTCGAATATGAGGAAGGGTGGACATATTTCTTTAAAATCAGGTCTCTTCATAACTACACATTAAAATGTTCACTTATAGCAAGAGTTTCTTCACATTTAGAAGTCTAGCTCGGCTACTGCAACTAGTTATTATCAGTTTTGGCCAGTCAAGTGTCGAATGGACCAAACTAACCAGACACCCTTCCAGAACAATATTGAATGGATTATACAGTGAAGAATAATGCCTTCGAAACAGTGGTGGCTGTCCTTAAGTAACTTTATACTTCATGATTTTCTCAGTGAAATGTAATCACTACTTATTTTAAGATGATTATTTCTAGACAAAGAAAAGCGAAAATAAGTGAATTCATTGGTATCAAACTCAGCTGAAATTTATTAGTATGTAACCTTAACCTTTTGACATATACTTGTGGTAAGCCACTGTTAATGATAGGCTAGAAAGTGGTGAAATAGATTAAAATGTTATTATTATTGCTCCCTTGGGTTCCTAGTGGAACATAGGGCTTCAACTCCACGTCTCCATTTGCTTCTGTCTTCTGCTGTACTTTTCGCCTGCATCCATGTTAGTCCATATTCTTTCAACTCCTCTTCACACGATCTCCTCCATGTCACCCTTGGACGTCCCACACGCCGCTTCCCTTTCGGGTTCCACTCGAGGGCTTGACGCGCGATGTCACCCAGGCGGCCTCCTCAGCGAGTGTCCAATCCATCCATCTCCACTTTCTCCTGCATATTTGTTGGGCGATTGGTTCTTGCTTTGTTTGTTCCCATAATTCCTTGTTGGTGATTCTTTCCGGCCGGCCATCTGATCTTCAGTATAGACCAGCGAAGAGAGTTGTTAATAAAGGTCTGCAACAGGCTGTTGGAAATATTCTTTCTCACCCGCTCGTCAAGTTTCTGATCCGTATAGGAGAGCTGACTTGACGTTGCTTGTATTGAAAATCCGACGAATTTAGTTGTTGATGCTGGCTGAGTGACGAAGATTTCCAGATTGGTTTCAGATTGATGAATGTGTTTCTCGCCTTCCCGATTCTCGCTCGATTTGACATCCTCATCCGTTCCGATTCCTGTAGTTGAGGCAATGCTCCCTAGATAAGTGAATGAATGAAGTAACCTCTTTCAAATCCCTCCCGTTGATGGTGATTGACGCTGGATGTTGCTGCTGTTGTTGTTTTTGTTGTTGGTTGGTTATTTTTATAACCTCCGTCTTGTCTATGTTCACCTGGAGTCCCGTCTTTGCTGCTTCTTCGACCGGTTTGTCGGTTTTTGCTTGTAAGTCTTCGATTTTGTGTGACATCAAACATAAATCATCCCGCGAAATCCAGGTCTTCTAGGTTCTTCACGTCGGTCCAGGATATTCCTGTCTTCTCGTTTCCCACTGTCTGACGCATAATCCAGTCAGTCCACCACAATTAGGAATATCATTGGTGATAATAAGCACCCTTGTCTGACTCCTGTGTTTACTCCAAACGCCTTGCTGAGTTTTCCGTTGTGGATCACTTGACATGTTTCGTTGTCGTACAGCTGTTGAATAAGGTTGATGAATATTTGGGGTACGCCGTAGTACTCGAGTAATTTCCAAATTACTTCACGGTCAACGCTGTCGAAGGCCTTCTCAAAGTCTATAAAGTTGAGGTAGAGGTTTGATTGCCATTCCATGCTTTGTTCTGTGATGATGATGCGTAGAGTTGCAATTTGGTCAGTACATGATTTGCCTTTCCTGAATCGAGCTTGTTCTGGTCGGAGTTCTGTCTCCAGTGCGTCCTTTATTCTCTCCAGGATGATGCGACTCAGGATTTTACTTGGCGTCGATAGGAGCATGATTCCTCGCCAGTTCTTGCAGAGTCCTAAGTCGCCCTTCTTTGGTAGTTTCACGAGGTAACCTTTCCTCCAGTCAGTAGGCACCTTTCCCTCCTTCCAGACCTTTTGCAATAATGGAGTCAGCATGTCTGCTGTAGTCTCTGGGTCCGCTTTCAGTGCTTCAGGGGGTATTCCATCTGGTCCGGCTGCTTTTCCAGCTTTCAGAAGCTTGATTGCGTTCAAGACTTCAGCTCTCGTTGGAGGATTGGTGTCAACTTGCAGTTGTGTGCGCGCTGTTGTTGGTATTTCTGGACGGGTTGCAGGTGATGGTCGGTTCAAGAGTCCTTTGAAGTGATCCGCCCATTGTTTAATCTGTTTTTCTTCCTTGGTAATTGGGTTCCCTTGGCTGTCTTTTATAGGTTTCGCTTGTGTTGGTCTCTTCCCGGATAGAGATTTGGTTATCTGATATAGTGTCCTCAGGTCCCTTTTGCCTGCTGCCTTCTCAGCTTCAGTGGCCAGGTTGTCGTAGAATCGTCTTTTGTCCTTCCTAGCACTCTTCTTCACTTCTTTGTCCAGTGCTTTGTAAGTTGAGCTCAGCGTCTCCTTCTCCTGTCCGTCCTTGCATTGAATCATTTTCTCTTTCACCATTCTCCTCTCTTCTATTAATTTCCAAGTGTCCGTTGAGAGCCATTCCTTGTCTTGTCTCTTCTTTCTTCCTAGAACCGTTGAACACGTTTCGTTGAGAATCGCCTTCAGAGACTTCCAATGTTCTTCCACGCATGATTCTTCAGTGATGTCGCGTAGTGTTTCCTGCTTTGCTCTGACAGTTGCAGTGAAAGTGTCTTTTGTGGTTGTGTCCTTCAGTAGTTGAGTGTTGAACTTGCATTGTGGTCTATCCCCAGCTATCCTCGAGGCTTTTAGCTTCACCTTGAAAGTCCCTTCTACTAGATAGTGGTCTGAACCCACATCTGCTCCTCTCCTTGACCTTGTGTCCAGTAGGCTCCGTCTTCACTTTCTTGAAATTTAGATGAAGTCTATTTGGTTGTTGGTGTTTCCATCTGGTGAAATCCATGTCGTCTTGTGTATATCCTTGTGTTTGAACACACTACCACCAATCACCAAATCATTGAAGGCGCAGAAGTCTGAGAAGAGTTCACCATTGTCGTTCATTTCACCGAGGGCCTCACGACCCATGGTGAGTTCTCTTCCTGTGTTGTCTCCTCCCAGCTTCGCATTCATGTCGCCTATCAGGATTTTGATATCGCCATTTGGGACATTGTCCATTATTGCTTGTAGTTGTCTGTAGAACGCCTCCTTCTTCTCTTGTTCTGAGACGTTTGTAGGCGCATAGCATTGAATGACTGTAACTTTCCTTCCTTTTGAGTTAAACCTGGCTGTCATTATCCTGGAGGAGATTGGTTCCCACTGCATGAGAGCTTTGGCTGCTGTTGGTGACATCATGATGGCCACTCCCTCGGTGTGCTCATGGTTGTCCTCTGGGTGGCCGGAAAAGATTACTGTCTCTCCAGTAGGTAGTTGGCACCTTCCAGTTCCGTTCCATCTGCTTTCGCAGATTCCCAACACTTCTATTCTGTACCTTCTCATTTCAGCGGCTATCTGGGCAGCCTTTCCAGTTTCGTACATTGTACGAACATTCCAGGTACCCATCCTTACTTTTGCTTTCATCGAAAGAAGGCACATCGGCTGACTGGCTTCCCGAAGGCTTTCACCAGCCTGCGTCATTTCACTTCCCCGATTCCAGCGAAAAGTAAGGCTATTGCTTATGTTTTTAGAATTTTTAATATAGTTATTCGTTGAAGTTTCTGTAGCGACTTGGTTGTTTTACAGGGGTGGAGTTGCTAGCACCACGCCCCAACCCTCCCTCTTTACCCGGGCTTGGGACCGGCGAGAAAACTAGTAAGCTAGTAGCCTAGCAAGCTAGTATCTGGCGAGGTTTATATATATATATATAAACTCATTTCTAAAACTAACCTGAAGCTTCATTCATACGTTGGTGAATAATTATTAAGGTTTCCACTTTCAGTTAGGAAACCGTTGAAAACCAGGGAGTACTAGATGAGTTTTCGTCCTTGTTTGGGAATCTTCATCAGTATGCACCCATGACTTCATGAAGGCCCTAGTCCAAAAGCTGAGTCGAATACACGTTCACCTTGTAACTTTAAGAAATCAATCAGATCCCTGAAAACCATTACCAGGATACTAAGGTTGTATTGACTTAAATTTTGTGAACTTAAGCGCCACGCTTTTTCATTTACTTTCTTAAACTACTTGAAAATATCAGATTTATCATATTCGTAACACGGAGCATTGAACTGCTCTATTTTAGTACAAACAGC